GTTGTCAGCAGCAAACTGGTTGATCCACTCTGAGAAGGTGCTATTTAAGACACTGAGCTGAATACAGCACCTCAGACTGAGGAAGTCTTTCGGATGAAAGACGAAACATTTCTACATTTTTTTTTTTTTTTTTGCTTTGTTTTGTTTTTTGAATATCCAGAGGACCAGATTGAACTTTTTTGAATGGGTGGATGGTTTTATTTTCCTCACCAACCATTTGAACTAGCATAGAATCATATTATATCTCAATACTTTTTATTGACCAGAAGCATTTTGAATGAAGCATTCACAAAGTATTCATTAGTACAATAAATCTACAACTACTTGACTTTTGTATTCAGCGTGGCAACTGCTGCCAAGAGATTTTGGAAAACACTAAAATGACTGTACCGGTAATTCAGTCAGCTTTACAGATACTGGGCTCAATTTTGATGTGACAATATCTCAGAGTCAGATTGTTTGCAATTTCAGAATTTCATGTGAGCATAATATTATTTTTAAGCTATATCTGGTGTTTCCCAAAACACAATAATCTTAGTTTAAAACCCTGGCATTAAAGTAGACAAGCCATGTGTATTCCTTTAAGAAGTGCTAGAGCTTTAATCACTTTCTGATGCACTGCCTGCCCACCACCAACAGACAGGCTTGTCTCCATTTTAAATCCATATGACAAATGTAATAAAATATGAACAAAACAGAAAAAAAAAAAAACATTTAACCTTTCACTGCCAACTCAAAATGTTGTTCAGGTCTGTAAGCAAGAACAAATGCAAAATGAAAATGTATGTAATGAGTATTTTACTAGTTTTATTTTTGTGGCATTAAACTGTGTAAACACTGGGTCTGCCTGTATGCAGTATGGGTGTTTGAAACAAAAGACTCATCCATGATCCACTCTGGTTGATCCAAATGCAACACATCTGCACAAACTCTGAGCTTAAATCAACAAAATTGCTCATTTTAATCCAGATGGTTATGATTTGGAGGCAGATAAAGTGATAAAGAGACAGTGGATTGTAATGAAGGGGCGACTGCAGACAACAAATCCGGTGAAGGGGGAAAAATGGCTGCTGAGCTGTGTTGACACTGCAGCAGGGAGAGAGTGAAAGGCCTGATGGAAAGAACAGCTAGACTCAGCCATGACACCCTGACGTAGGAGGCAAAATGAAGGTTTAATGCAAAGGCATGTGAAAAAGACACCACAGAATGCCTCTCAACAACTGTTTAATGTACATGCACTTTTAAAACCAAACATATCTGCGTCAAAGACAGCCTTCTCCTTTGTAAAGTGAATTTAAAACAATGGAGACATGCAACTGAATCAGCAACTCCTCACCCTCTCGCCTTCGTCCCTCTCCAGCCACTAGCCTTCTTTCCTTCCTTCATTCCATCCTGCAACAGAGTCACTAAACCTCAAACAGCCATCCACCCCACCCTGTCTGGATGAAAAAAAAAATCTTCCCAAACAGACGAAGGCCCAGAACACAGGGTCAGGTTACATCCAGGTCCTGGCACGGATCGTCTTCAGTCACTCTGTGCACCACAAGCAGACATATGAACGGACACATGGAAAATGCTCCTGTATGAGTGTTAGTGTGTGAATGTGTCAGGCAGGCTCTCAGCAGCAGATTCACGCACACTCCCAGCCTGCCACGTCCCCTTGCCCTTCCCAAATCTCCCGTCTCCTGTCAGTGAGCGGTGCAGCTCACCGCTCCGACTTTCAGCCAGCAGTGAGCCGCAGCAGCACCTCTGCCATGGAGAGGAGCCGCCACGGAGCAGCCCGGGCTATCTTCTATCCCTGTGGAGCATAGAGAAGGCATTGTTCCCATCAGCCCTCAGTCTGCCTCAAACCGGTTTCATCTGGTTCTGGACACCCAGCATAAAGCAGCACGGCCTCGAAAACACACAGGAAGAAGCAGTGTGCCCACCTCCCAGGAAGCACTGTAGCACATTTTATCATGGAGATTTTGTCAAACTAGAAATATGCTCTGAAAGTTTGGAGATTCGCTGGTCTGGTCTGTTGCACAGCCTTTAAACTGGAAAACACAAATCAACAAGGCATGTCGGGGTACAGATGCAAAATGACAGGACAGGCCTTAACAAGTGCAAATTCATTTCCAGTGCTGAATAAATATTGGCTTAACGCAAAGAAAAGATGATTTTCTCTCAGTTCTTTTATCCCCGACTTGATACAAACCTTCAAGTATCCCCAAGCTCTTATCATTGTGATATAAAGACGAGGAATGTGAGCACAAGACAAATATCTGGTCGTTCATGCATACTCCTAACCACATTTCCATCAGCCACATGCAATCCTGCACCACTAGCACCCCCACTGAGACACACATAAATAAAAGCATGCACTTCCATGCATATATAGAGGTAAATGTGGCATACCCTTGTCCACTCTGAGAGATAATTAGTGGGAAATGGGTCTTCCTGTAGAGGCCTCAGCACTTGTCTTTACCAGCCCAGCCTCCATTCTCCCCCACCTCCCCTTTCTATACCTCCTCTCAAATTTTAGTTCCAGTCGAGGCCTCGCTTTTTCTTGAAGACCCTGCCATTAAACAGCAGCACCGCCACAGCAGAGCATGCAGGGACAACGTTGGCGAGAGGGGGGCAGTGTTCTGCAGGCGAGCCAGGCCTTTTGTCTGTGTGTATGTGTGCGGTGGGGTGAGGGGGACTCCACTCTGGCTCGGGAGCAGCAGCAGCTGGTGCAGAGGAAAGGGAGGGAGAAAGAGACAAGAGGGAGGTGAGGGGGAAGATGGAGGAAGAGAGGAACTGAAGAAAAAGGAAACGAGCAGGAGAAGAAGTAGATGCAGGCACAAATCTGTGCACACTTCTTAGGCCTTCGCTCCTTGAGCAATCTCTCTGAGAGATAGGAGTTTTACCTTAATGAACAATGGATTACAAAAATAGAGTATAGTCACTGTTTATGTTTAAATCCAGTTTTTGTTTGCTTGGCGAGACTCGCACAATTTAAATGAAACAATAAAACAACGACAGATTTTACTGAGTGCTGGTCACAATACGCAGATTTAATCATGAGCTGAATTATTCCATTTCAACCCTGTGAGCAGAAGAAAAACCAAGTCCCAGTTAACATATGTAAACAGAACCTTATATTACAATATGCAACGCAATGTTACAGAAAATCATATTTTGGAGGAAACCTACCTGGAAGACTGTGGAGAGAGGCTTTTAGCTGGACAAGGCTGACTCTCTTGGGCCTTGATTCATCCTGTAGACCTAAAGCAGCAAAACTATGATGCAGCACAAGCTAGTGCGCCTTTAACATGTAAAGAACTGCAGCAGATTTATTCATCTTAATTCACAAATGCATTTGATACACTGCAAAGGCAGCTGAAGATGAGCATATATGAATATATGATAAAAGGCCCCGGTGGTGCCTCCTGCCTCCCTACACTGTGACAGATTTAGAGCAGGAGAAGAGGCTGAGGTTGCTCCCCACCCCCTTACAGAGTCACATGACTTCATACTGCCTCCATTCATATCGGATACAAGACAGGCTGCTAACCGCTAGACATCTCTGTCTCTTATTCCAACCATTCTTGCACAATACGGAGCAAATCAGAGACAGGAAAGTATGGTCTTACAGTTCACGACTGTGTTTATAGTGTAGCATCTTTTGTTGCAGTTTTGGTAGATGTATTCAAATGATAGAATCCTGATCATTATAAAAGAAGGTATGATTAGTTTCCCTGGCTTAGCAGAAAGCAGATGTTCAAACCTGGTCCTGTTTAAAAAGTGTGCATCCATCTTGTTGCTTTTGTCAACTGAGACCCTCAGATTTAGCCTCACATCTCAAGGGAGCTGCAGATTCTTATTTTAACCCCTTCAATGCCACAGTTTGACTGCTAGATGACAAATTGGAAAACGTTTTGTTCAGCCGAGCGTTTCTGAAAAAAAATAACGGTTTTGAATTCAAAGAGAATTTTTTTTAGCTAAATGTGACTTAGATGGTGCAAAACATTGCCTCATTTTTGACACATTCAAGACATAGTTTTGAACTTTTCCCTCATCTTTAAAGTGGCAGTTCAAATTTTTTCAAGTGGGGTTCGGTGGAAAGGCTGGTAGATTATCAAACAACAACGGTTGGAAAAAATAAAGATTGGTTTTGGCTGAATTGACGAGCCAATGACTTGTCTGAGAAGGACCAAGACAAAATGGGATAACCGTTGTCATGTCTTAATAGAATAGAACAGAATAGAATAGATACCGTATTTTCCGCCATACATGTCGCATCGCCGTGTAAGTCGCATCAGTCCAAATATGTCTAATAAAGTGGAAAAAGCCATAAATATGTGGCATCTATTATACGTCACCGTTGACGCATCGGGTTTGTTGTACGTCTGCGCTGACAACCAAGAAATGTGTGCCAGTGTTGTGCCAAAATGGATTGGCTGCCAAATGGCAGCCACAGGAGCACGCACGGGAGGACTTGAACAAAAATTTAACAAGATTAACACTTAAAAACAATTATTTGTTTGCTCGACTTAATAGTAAAGGTGTGTTTCAGTCTAACTTTTGCTCAATAAATGCACTTTGATGGTCAAATGGGTTGTATTTTCAAAAGCCGATACGATGAAACATGACCGTGCAGAGGGCAACTTGGTCCATTTCTTTGAAGTTTAACAAGATAACCACCTAAAAACAATTGTTTGTTTGCTCGACTTTATAATAAAAGTGTGTCTCAGTTGAACTTTTACTTTATAAATGCACTTTGACGGTCAAATCAGCTGCATTTCGTCAGGGCAGTGAAGTTGCTCCAGGCAGACGATGGTGGCAGTCTATGGCAAGCTAATTGTGTCATTAAAAGCCACTTTTACCTATTACATGATACAACGGCATGCTTTACTACTTGAGTGCCATCTAGTGGCTGAAAATGGTAGTGTTCCATATTTTCAGTCAGAATGAATAAAAACGGTCATATCTCAGCCAAAAACTGGTTTATAAATATGATTAAAAAAATCCATAAATATGTTGCTTCATCCTATAATTCGCAGGACATGCAAATTATGCAAAAACTGTGACTTATAGACCAAAAAATATGGTCATCATTATTACATAACATGGGAATTACAGCAGAAATATATGTTGAGTGGAAATGCCTTGAACTACGCAAGTGCCACAGTTAGCTGCTGCTGTTTATGTTTGCAAATAACCATTAAACTATTTTTTTAATATGCAATGCAAATCTGACAAGGATGTAAAGGTTTGGTAAATAGCATCTGCATGAACCGCTATGACATCCATCCATTTTGGTCCACACTTGGACTAACCATTAGCTCATCGGTCCAGACAGAAATGTTCTCTATTTCTCAAATTTTGTTCAAAGAACTATTGACAACAAGTAAAATATTGATTATTATTATTATTACTAACATTTCCACTTGAAAATATCTGAACTATCACTTTAATAAAGCTTACCTATTTATAGCATTCATGCAACAAGTGTTCATATTGTTATGTTGTTTCATGTTTTATTAAAGTAAGACTTAATTACATGTTGTACATTGTCCCAGGATTTTATTTCAGAATTGAAAGTGCTGGATTTTATTTGTTTAATTGTTTGTTTACGCAGTCTTTAGTAAAATTATGAGCTCTGCAGCCCATGTACAGTACTTTTTGTTTCTGTACCAGTTTACAATAGTGATATAAAATAAGTGGTCTCAATACAGTCAAGAAACTAATCTTTACTGACATGTTTCTTGACAAGTAGAGAACCAACATCCGTTCTCTCCATTTTCACTGTTTAACTGCATTTTTCATTATTAAATGTTTAAAATCTAACATTTGTCCGTTTATTACCTGCATGGAAGCATTATTGACATTTTGTAGAGACAAAGTCTGGGCACATAACAAATATAAGCAGAGCAACAAGCAAAATTACTTTCAGTTAAATAAATTAAACTACAGCACTTGACGCTGCCTATAGTGAGCCTGTTTCAATATGAAGAATGTTTATTAATGTTTGTTTTTTAATAAAAGCTTATTAGGACTTTCTGCAGTGTTTAAAAATGTGATTATAAATCCTTAATGATTAAAACTGAGTAATCTTGCATAGAAGGACTTATAATGTAAAATGGGACCATTTCTTTCTTTTTTTTAATTTCATGTTTAAATGGAAATAGATGAAAACAAAATGTAATGGAAATAAACCACTTCTGTCAGCCCAAAGCAGATATGTTACAAAGCATCAGCACAACTCGACAAAAACAGCTTTTTCTTTCACCAAATGAGAGAAAAATGTTTTTTCATGCTCTCGTCATCGTGTCTTCGAGGGACTGACGGGTGAGCCACAGGGTGACTTCACAATCCGAGGAGTGATGAACAGCAACAACCTTCTAATAGCAAACTGTCAAGTTAATTGACACTTTGCTCGCTGAAAGGCCCTTAAACATATTTTTTTTTTCTTTTCATGAAGCTGATTCCACCGTCAGACCCTTGAGTGACTCACGTGACATCAAGTAGAATGAACATAATTATGAAAAAGAGAAATAATAGGACGATTAAATCAAAGCTTGGACATTAAAAGCAGTAATTTATGTATTTTTCAGTGTGGTCTAAAGAATGCATCGCATTAGTAAAGCTACATCACCTGTAAGTGTTCTACTATATGACTTAAAGGAATAATTTTAAACAGCAGTAAATAATATAGATCTTTAACCATTTTAATGAAGGTTCCACATTGCATCTTCACAAGACTTGTGATTTAGGAGGTGAATTTTGGTCTAACTTCGAGCCAGAGCGCCATCTGCTGTTTTTACTGCTTGTGTTAAAAAAAAAAAAACAACAAAAAACAAACAAACAAGTAAAACACAAAAGTTGGAACTGAAGGAAAAAGAACGAGGTTTTGGACAGCGGGGGATACAGACGTCTGGTGAGTAATGGTTTGAAAAGTTCACTTTAATCAGTTCAACGCTATGACGGCATCCTTATGCAAAGAACACAATTAATGACCTAACTTTTAACTGTGCAGTAATTGATTTAATCTGCTGATGAACAAAGTGGTGCTTGGTGATGAAGGCCAGACAATCAGGTACTAGGTGTCGTGAACTCTAGTTAATCACAAACCTCGTCCGCCTCTTCAAGTGGTTTTCTTTTATTCTGCTTATTTTCTCTTCAGAAATATTCATTAAAAAGGCTTGTGAGCAAAACATGAACTAATTAAGTTTTTTATAATTAATGATACTTTATGTATGTATACACAGGTGCATCTAAAAAAAAATTGAATATTGTGGAAAAAGTTCATTTTTTTGTAAATTGTTTCAGAAAGTAAAACTCATACATAGAAACACAGTTTCAACACTTCATTTATTATAATTCTAATGGTTGTGTGCATGTGCATGTCTTTGTATATCACGTTCCTCCCTTTTTAGACCATTGGCAGGCAAGTCGAGCAGAAGTTTAAAATAAAAACAATTTATTTAAACCACAAAACAAAAGGCTGACGAGGCAGCAAAAACTGACAATAATCAGGGCAAACCGGGCAGATAGAAACCGGTACAGGCGAAAACAGAGAAGAACCTGTCTGTGTGCATAACAGAACACTGAGCGGTGGAGAGGAGAGATTTAAATAAGGCAAAGGTACGGTGAGTAATGAGTGCACCTGGGATCATTCTGATTGGAAACTGGTGTGACTGATGTAACTAACCCTAGCAGCTGATACTAACACAATAAGCAGAAAAGGAAAAGAAACATACAAACGAAAAAAAATAGACACAGGGACAGATCATATTGTATTTGTTACCTTGTAAGGCCCATGTTTTCAACACATACTACACTGTGAGGACCAACTGCTTCTCATGGGGCCCAATGAGAAGAAGTACCGTTGGTGGGTTAGGGGTTAGGTTTAGGACTAAGATGTGAATGGAGGATGGGTTAGGGTATGATGATGGTTAGGGTTTAAGTAAGGGTTAGGAATAGGCTATAGTATTTAATGAAAAATGAATGGAAGTCAAGGCAAAGTCCCTGTAAAGATAGAAAGACAAACGTGTGTTTGTGTGGTGCATGTGTGTTTTATTGCATTTTCCTGCAGCCGCCAATAAACTACAGAAACAAATATTTCACATGGCACCATGCCGTCTGTCTTACCTGTTGCTGCCCTTTTGTGCAGGTGACTCATCGTGTTTGGTTAAGGTCATCCTTGGATGAAGACGTAATTTGTTTTGAGCCATATATTCCCTCTTAAGGTCCTGCGGGGATGTGTGTGCATGTGTAGAGGGGTCGTAACCCGACTATACCCAGAGGAAACTCTCAACCTTTTCAACGCAAAATGTTCCAGACCTCGGACATCTATTTCGACTCTTATTTAAGTCAGTTCTGTCATGAAGGGGTCAGTCTAGTATGAGAATTTGACTGAAGTTGTTGTGTGTCGTGTTTGATGCTCTAGTTGACCTTTGAAGAGACGAATACTCTGTTTTCACATAAATTATGTTAAGAACTCTCTTTTTTTCTGTTGGATCTGTAGGAATTGTCACAAAGCGAAAATATAATATGCAGGAGAAAAACACAAGCATTTACTTGAGTTTATTTTTTATTGTCTTCTATGCTGCAGGTTGAGATTGTGTTCCCTGCTAATTAGAAGCGGTGTTAGGACTCTGTGGTGGCTTGTTTACACTGTTGAGGTTAATTTTACACCCAGGAGTTACTTTCATCAGTGGATTATTTATGAATCAACTCATTAAAGGTAACTTTGTGCTCCAGGATTAGCCAAACTCACACAATGGCAATGAATGGTGACTTAGTTTTACAAATTTCGGCTAGCGGGACCTGATAAGCTGCTAACAAGACAACGTCGCTAACAGAACAGAACCAGGATGTTGAAAGAACCTCACTGCTAACCGGATATGCTTTTAGTATTTTTGCTGCATGCTTTGATATTTGTTGTTGTTGTTTTCTTGTTTTTTGTTTTTTTTTGTTGCTGTTTTTTTTGCTAGTCAAGACGGTTCTTCTTGTCCTATAAGCATTTCATTGCATTGTTGCCCTTGTGTTGATTTGCACAGGACAAATAAACCTAACATAACACAACCTACCGGCAGGGCCGGCTCAAGGCATAAGCAAACTAAGCAGCTGCCTAGGCCCCCCGGGGCCACTAGGGGTCCCCTAAGTAGAATGGATTTTTTTTAAAGTAAAGATTTATATACGATTCTATTTAATATTTTAAGTTCAGCTTTTGCAAATTGTTGCATACATTTATATATAAAAAAAAAATTAAACCATTTTATGTGGTTTCAAGTTATTGTTTATTTACATTATTTAGGCATTTCCTTGATATTTTTTATTTTATTTTATTTAGTCTGTTTTTGCACAATTTATTTTATGCATCTAAGTTATTTTTTCTGTTGTTTGTTGTTGATCTTGCCCTACAAATTATTTTGAACATTAAATCTGTTGCAGTTCTTTTCTAACCAACGATAATAAACCAGATGACACTTTTGCTTTATCAGTCAAATCAAATCAGTTTTTATGTTTAAAATACCAAATTACTCAAACAGAAAACATTCAATTTTTAGAAGTAGTCATCAAATGCAGAGAAAGTTATATTTTACCAGTTTGTTAATAGGTAGTTTTATCAATACATTCTGCCATGTCCGTCCTTTTGAGGACATTTGTGAGGTTGATGTGGCCCAAAATGAAAATAAGTTTGACCCCCCTGCGACTAGATGATACTGTATATACACATAGGATCAGGTAAACAGGACTGTCAGAGTTGTAATTAGTTTATGTTAGGTGGGTGAATAATCTGATCATCTGACTGATGATTGCAGTAATCCACATTATTAGCAGAAATAGGGAACCCCAAACCAAATTTTGCTTAGGGCCCCATAGAGGCTTGGGCCGGCCCTGCCTACGGGAAGTCAATTTATAAACATATGGCTTTTAATATACAGCAATACAATATGAAAAACACAAAAACGATGACATATTTGTTTCTTCCTTCGCATTTAGCCACTCTTTTATTTCCACCTAAGCATCTTTCCAAATATTTTCAGCTTGTCTGATTCCACCGTGTTAGCTCTGTTTCTCCAAACTGAGGCTGTATCACCAACAAGTTAAACAGATGAATCCATTTATTCAACATTGTCTTTAATGTGATTTAAGTGCACATGTCTCCATCTTGTCGTGTTGGTCCAGCGCTGGTTCTCCACTCCCATTAAAGAAGAAACGACCCTCGTCCAGTGACGTTCACACTTGAATCAAGAGTGAACAGTAATTACAGCCCATAGATGATCATTTGTCAGCACCATTTTTCCTCGTTTTGGTGCAGTTTCCGAGCTTTTTTTTTTTTTTTTTTTTTCAGAGCCTCTGACGCAGAACTGTATCAGGAGGAGCTTTTTAACTTCCACCATTAGTCATTCCCAGCAAGGCCAAAGGGAGAAGAACTTCTGCAACCCGTTCATCCACATCCGCCCAATCAGCAGGAAAATAAAAGTAAAAAATTGATTATGTTGGAGATTTTCTAAACTTAGTTCAAGTTACTCACCAGCAGCGACAGGATTCAAGCGGCCCACTCTGTTAGGATCTGACATTCTCCTGGATATGATGGGTGGAGCGTCTCTGTGCTCTTCATGGACCTGCAGACCTCTGTGGCCACTTTTGATCTTTCTGGCTGCTTCTCCTGGTTTCTCGCTCTGCTCAGAAGCTCCTGCTGCAGCTGTTGGGAAGATGTACGCACGGGGACATCACTGGGCAGTCGGTAAGGACAAATGACACTCCTGATCATAGGATTTTCATGTTTTGTAATATTTAGATTAATTATTTCTTAGGAACAGAGCACTAAAACTCCTAGACAATTTTCTTGTTCATTTTAATGTTTTTATTTTCTTACTGATAACGTTTATTATTCATTAGTATATCAAGAACAAAAAATAAATTAATTAATCAGCTTAGGTTAAAAGAAATAATCATAAAACTAACTTGTTTTTCTACAAATAACCCATCTGTTTTATTGAATGCATGATCACATTGAAATACATTTTTTAAGTAAATTTAAAATGTTAACACAATTTTATGACAATTAACACAGCATCTTATCTTTTATTTCCAGGTCATTTGATGGGAAAGAAGAGCATCGAGAACCTGCAGGAGCCAAACACCAGCAGCCTCACACCCTCACAGTCAGTCTGGACCTTTGAGCTGGACCTACGTGAAGGACCTGCAGAGGTTCTACCAAAAAACAAAAAACAAAACACGCTGCAAAAGCTCCTCCACCACAGCTGGAGAGCAGGCGACAGCGCCAAACATCTCCAAGAGGTCTGTAGGCTCAAACATCATGTGGTCCAGAAAATTTAATCTAAAATATGGTAACATCTGTCTTATTTAATCACTGTTTCATAGATGTCACATCTGCTTCTTCTGGCTTTGAAACTGCAAGACAACGACTCCTCATGAGCGAAAGACAAATCTGTTCACAACAGCCACAGCTTAGTCTGCTTCGTGTACCCACACATGTGGACTGTGTGTATTTATGCTGTCAGAATACACGAAGCAATTTAAAAAATGAGTTCAAGTATCAGTATTTTAATTATTCTATATGCACATCAGGAAGTCCTTTGACTTCTGGTGAAGGAAGCTGTGCTACAATAGCAGAGAACATTAAATAAACTGCACATTGTAACAACTGCACCGTGGATGTCAAATCATGCTTTACATACCATGAATGACCCTTATTTACTATAAACATATTTTTTTGTTTGTTTTGAAAATACATAAACTTGAAAATAAAAATGTAAAGCCTTCAACTTATCTTTCTTCTAGAAATCCTGATTCAGTTGTGCTCCTTGAAAGAAATTACACGTTTTACTTGCTCTTTAGGGAGATAGTTATCTCAGATCAGCAGAAAATAACTAAATGTTGCTCCACCCACTTAAAAAATGCATCAACTTATTATTGTTATTATTATTGGTCACCTTTTAATAATGCACATGGGCTTATATTCTCTTCCAACCTGTTCAATTACCAGTCTATGCCACTAGAGGGCGCACAGAGTCAGTTTCAAAGCAAATTGAGCCTAACTTAAACTAGTACATGACCATAATAAGATAAAAACAGGTCATCAGAGCAGAGGGAAATCTGGTGATGGTTTGTCAGAGGGGATATAAACAATAAAACAAATAAGCAAACAAACAAACACACCCAGTGTTTCTCTATTTAGAAGTGCTGAATACATGATCAGAAAAAAATCTGCTTGAAATGGTTTTGTTAAACACATTTTCCTCCAAAAGCTGCCATTTATTATTATTTTTATTAATGCACAATAGAAGAGCAGACATTTTCACCCCTTTTAAGAGTCTAATCCCTGGATACAGTTTACAGGAGGCTGAGATTATTCTCAAGTAAAGGAGTTTTCTGTGTCACACATGTTTATTCCATAAAACTGACTTTTGCATTGATAAAGAAAGTAGGTGAGCTATTTTTTTTTAAATATTCATACTTTGGGATTTTAATTTACAGTATTACAAAAGAATGTGACTAGCAGAAACTGAAACAGAAGCTTTAATTCAAACATTGGCTCACAGGTTATCACATGAAGCGGCAGCTAGTCACCACCAGGGGGCGCTAATATCCACATGTTCCTGTCGTTCATGACCTATAAAAAAAGAATCACTCTGCAAATATCTTTATATAAAATCAGAGAAAATGTATGCTGTTCTGTATTTTTTTTTTTTTGCACTGCATTATTTCTTAATAAATGCATGTTTTAATCCTTTTTGTAAGACGACATAGATGTGTAAAAAACGTTAAAGTTAAGTATAAAATTTAGATAAGTTGTTTAAATTTACCTTAACATGAAGAGTTTATTGTGTGGACGGGGGGGAAATAATCACATTTCTTTATGGGGGGGAAAATCAACCTAATAAGAATACTGTCTTGAGCACCAAAAAAGCATGAAAATCTATTAATAAAAGGTTTTTGTTGTATTTTAGTGCATATCAGAAGGGACCACAAAATACAACTTCACATATTTAACAGTAAAATATATATATCAGAAGAAAACTCAAGAAAACTATAAAATTTAATTGTTTATCATTCACAGGAGTTTTAGTCTCACAGCTTATCAGTGAAGAATAAAAGTAGAATAACTCCCTTATTTTAGAATCCCATGATGAGCAGAAGGATAAAGAGGTTTCTGAGAGTTTGTCTGTTTCCAGCTCCGCTCAGCATCACCACGTCTTCCCAATAGACTGAATGTGTTCCTTGGCCTTCATCCTCAGGGAGGCGATACTTGAGTTCCTAGGGTTAGATGTGCACTGGTACGTCGGTGGTGGGGGGCACACAGAGCCGATGTGGGCCAGGTGAGGGCCGTGTCCCAAAGCTGGGGAGTTGAAAAAAGATGTGGGTAAGGATGGAGGCATGGAAGGAGGAGGAGATGGAGCGTAAGTGCCCGAGAGGCTCTGCGAGCTGAAGCCTGGCAGGGACTGCAGGGAGGCGGAGGGGCTGATCGGGGTGGAGAGCCAGGGGTCCAGCTGCAGCCCAGAGCCCAGGGGCCCCGAGGGGGGCCGGCTGAAGGAGAGCAGAGAGGAGCAAGGGGTGTCCTGCAGCTTGATGGAGCCCACCTCCAGCTTCTCCTGACGGCGCCACTTGGCTCGCCGGTTTTGGAACCACACCTAAAAGAAGGTTTTCAGATTATAAAATTCCAATTTAGCTGTCACCAAAAGCTTTTTATGTAAAGAATAAATTACATGATAGTAAATAAGTATTTTCATTTAAAAAACATCCAAGTTTTATGAAATTATGTGTTAATCAATAGTGATTAACATATAATTAAAAAATTTTTTAAATGTATGTTTTTTAGCGTAGTATTCAAAAGTCAATTGCATTAAAATAAACATTTTCGTCCGTTTATTTTATTTTAAAAACATAAAGACCCTTAGATGAAAACTTTTTTGACACACAAACAGCTTTAACGCCTAAAACAGCAATTAAAAAAATATTTAAAAAAACATTATTATAACAACAGTGAAGGTAAAAATCTTTAGCTTTTGTTGGAGGTGACCTTGAGACCCTCACTCTGTGTTTCACGACCCTAAAGGGCTCCCGAGCCTGACACTGGGAACCATTGTGTAGATCTAACAATCTCCATCTTTCTTCTTAGTATATGAATAACTGGTTAAATTACTTTATCATAAATGTAAAAACAAATTAAAAAAAAAATTTTAAATGAAAAAAAAACATCTGATTTTTTAACATCTGTTTAGTTTTGGAAATCTAAAACGCAAATATTGGTTTAAGCAAGTAACTATATTTCCTGGTGGCGTCTATCTGGGCCCTGTAAAGGATTTGGGACCGAGCAGCACCTGGACTCGAACCTCCGGCAGGTTGACCTTCAGGGCCAGCTCCTCTCTGCTGTACACATCTGGGTAGTGGGACTTCTCGAAGGCCCGCTCCAGCTCGTGCAGCTGGAAGGTGGTGAAGGTGGTTCGGTTCCGGCGGTGCTTCTTCTTCTGGGTCTCGTCGTCGGACAGCTTCCCGTCGTGGTCCGGAGAGTCCGCTTCTGCAGCGGAGGCACCTGCGGGGAGGAGGAGACACAACTTTTACTTTTCCACATCCTAAAAACTTCAGCATGTTCGGGTGGAAGTTTAGACTTACTGTCGCAGCTGTCTGAGAGGTGAACCTTCTTCCTTAGAGGGACGGCTCCAGGCCCAGCTTGGACCGGAACCGGTTCCGTGCCGGCTTTGTGGAAGACCGTGTCCTCTTTAAAGCCCAGGATGGCCTCGATGCTGTGGACTCTGGACCCGGGACTCTGCACGGAGCGAGCAGGGGGGGACTCCTCCATCATCATCATCATCTTCACTTGGGACGTTGACCCCAGGAGCCACATGAGGAGTGTTGGGTCAGACTAATTCCTGAAAAACTTTCCTTTTTTACCCTGCTTTAGTCCCGTCAGAGTCTTGATGATTATCTGACATCCTCAGTCCAGTCTTTAAATAGTGTCCCCCCCTGGACCTCAGGCGCCCCCCTGGTCCACGTCAGAGAGAGAGAGGGACGTCCTGCTGGGGGGGTGGAGGGCATCACTCCTCCCCATCCCAAGAGCATCAGAGCTGACTCTAAAGCCACTTACATAAATCTTAAACCCATCTTTCCACGTCTCCAGATGTCATTTTCATGTTTGGAAAAAAAAAAAAAAAGAGGGGAGGGATTAAGCCCCCAGATTAAGGTACAACAAAATCATAATTACAAGATTTCTGCTGCGAGATGAAAGCTTAAGATTTAATCAAACCGTCAAGATATTGTTGCCAGAACTGATTGGACTTTCCTGAACTGTTGCGATGTATTGATCTACTTTAAGAGCCACATTTGTAAAAAGAGAGAAATGTCTTCTTTTTTTTTTGTTTAAATGGGTGAGTTGGGTTAACTGGTTGACGAAGCACAAACAATAACAAGTTGAGTCACTTAACAACAAAGACTGACGGCGGTGTGGTAATCCTGCTTAAGGGGATTGTATTGTTTTACTCAAAAGAGCTAAAAGCCCTAAAACTATTTAGCTTTTCTCAATTAAAGAAGTTGACCCTTGTTGGTTCGGCAAAGGACGGCACAAAAAGAAGAGTGTCTCAAGAAACACAGATCAGGAATAAATGGTTTAAAATGTCCTTTGTGGGGGGGGGGGGGGGGGGGGTGTTTATATTGACAAGGCAAAACCAGAACATGACGAGAAACAGCAGATAGAAGATCAGGTGCAACTTTCTCACTACGTTTTAAATGAATAATTTGTCCTCATGGTGCTTGAATGAAACTTATTGAAAATGTGAGAACTTTAAAATGTAAGATGTGAAGAAAACGGGTAAACAGTGAGAACAGAAAGAACTCAAGCTAAATCTTGGCTCATGTGGCAAATAAGAAGTCTCCTTTTTATGGAGTGTTGCTTATTATGACATTAAGTGATCATTTAAAATGTCTTTATTGTAACGTGGTTGAATAAAACATTAGGCTGCGGATGAGATACATTAAGAGTTATTAAAACAAATTTAGAATTTGTGTTTAAATCATCACAAACGACTTTGTTCAGTTGTTAAGTACATTTTTAGAAAATTCTTATTTTCATAATTCAAATTTAATTGTTTTTTAGGTCTAAACTTTCAGATTGTTGCGTGAATCTTGACGGCTGCAGGAATGAACCGGACAGGGTCACAAAAATATAGAATTACAACGTTCGTGCTCAATAATCCAGGTAAAAAAAATCCAACAATGTTCAGTCAGAGCATCTGGACGTTTTTTTGCTGAGACGTTTTGTCCTTCATCCAAAGGACTTCTTCAATCTAAGGAGCCACCAAACAAACTCAGTCCCACAAACAGCATACTCCTATAGTGGAAAAAAACAAAACAGTTTGCTGGTATTAAGATGGCCTCCGGTCCTCTCCCCGTCAACTCCTCTGAGGCAGTCATGCCAAAGTGGCTCCTCAGATTGAAGAAGTCCTTTGGATGAAGGACGAAACGTCTCAGCAAATAAAGAAACCGTCCAGATGACCTGACTAACCATTGTTGGATTTTATACCAGGATTAATGAGCATGAACTTTGATGTTTTGAACCAGTTTGTCATAGCTGTCTCAGAGGAGTTGACAGGGGAGAGGGCGGGCCCCGGAGGCCATCTTAGCACCAGCAAACTGTTTTTTCCACCATTGGAATATGCTGTTTGTGGGACTCAGTTTGTTTGGTGGCTCCTCTGAAGAAGTCCTTTGGATGAAGGATGAAATGTCTCGGAAAAAAAAAAAAAAAAAAAAAAAAAAACGTCCAGATGACCTGACTGAACATTGTTGAAAATACATAATTAATAATAAAAACACTAAATATTACAGGTTTCTTAGATTTATTTAAAGTACAACTGAGATTTCCCCCCATTTGGTTAAATTATTGTTCAGTCAACAATTGGTTCCACATAAGTTTTCAGTCTAAATAATGTCTCCATCTATCTACCACCTGCTTCTTCCTTTTCGGGTCACTGGTGCCCAGGTCCAGCCATCACTGTTACTTTTGTTCTGCAAATGATGTGATTTGTACCTTCTTGTGTCTTTATGGTTGCAGCTGGTGAGGACTTACATTTACCCAGACAGCTAGTTTTACCAAATGTCCATCGATTACGTTAAAGGTACTCGTTGCACAGTGATGAAGACTGGACAAAAAAATAAAATCATAAAGAAACAAAGTCCTCCACATTTCTTCTAATACTGAGGGTTAAACTGTCTTTAAATTAAAATGTGTTGGCCGAATGGTGACCAGATGCCACGTGCGTTTGTTTACCTACAGAAAGAGCTGAAGTGACTGAAAATAGGTCAAATGATAATCTTGTCGGCCATATTTGTTTACCTACACAGACTGTGGGTCAGTCATGTGGCTCAAACGTCCATGAGATGTTTTGTTTACATTGAGTGCAGACCCGCATTTCAGGATTATATTTCATCAAAACTACTGGAGTAATCTCTCTCAAACCACACCATTTGAAATAGTTTAAGATCATGATTTTTATGTTTAATTTCACAGTTTGCCAAGAAAGCCTTTAAGATACTTTGAATTTTCCATCGCACTGTCAGAACGTTTTCCATTAAGAATATACTCGTATACAAAAACACTAGACTGCATAACTTTAGGTATGCAGAATCCTGAGCTGGCGGGAGTATATTGTGTATATATTTCAGGTGGAGGAGGAAAAAGATACACAAGCTCAGCTGCTGATAATCTGCAGACTTTTACAGATCCACAGCAGTTCAAACATAGGTTTATGTGAAACTACAAACATGGCGGCCCACCGTCATTCTGCTCTGCTGTTAATCTTTATTAACTGTTTGGATGATGCCTGATTAATTTAAGACCTGTTTAACTGTGTTATTCCTACTTTGTGTAAATGGGACTTAACGTGGCGACGTGATATGAAACGTCATGTCTGTCGGGTTAAATTGATTCAAATGGACATTTTTCAGGGTCATTTAGGACCTGAAATAAATTTTAAAAAAGTAAAACCTTTATTTTTTTTCCCAAAACCTAATTAACTATAATTAATTTGCTGACTAATAATTTGTCTGAAAGCCACTTTCTCATAAAATCGTTTCAAGTCAAACAACACAAAAAGCACATAGCTCGTATTCAACGTATATCTTTATTTGAACGTTTCTCTTCTCGGTTCATCTTTTATGTATGCTGTATTCATTTTAAAAAATGCATCTTAAACATATTATTTGTGCAAATCTGCAATGTTTCAGGCTCATTACATTTTATTACAATTCTGATACACCAGAAAATGTGACCAATAAACTTAAAAATGACCTAAAATAACATCAAAACCAAAGAGGAAAGTTGACATACTCAGACAGGATGGGGCTTCTATCAGCTCGTCTCCATATATTTTTATTTACTTGACTGTAAAACACATTTAGAGACTAACCTGTCTCATTTTTCTGACAACAATGAACAATAAATCACAAAATGTTGGACTGGGTACCCGTCACACCAAACAAAGTCTTGTAATGGGGTAAAATTTTATGGAAAATCTTTACAATTAATCCTTAATGAAGTCAAATGTAGTTCTAAAATTACATTTTTTTTTTTTTTTAAATGAAATAAGAATATTTAATTTCAAATGTGAATCTTAAAACTCCCTTTTTCCCAAAAAGTGGTGAAATTTGAACATTTGAAACCGTTTTGTCTCATTTTTACAAAATCAACACACCGTCCTCGGCTAATTCACATGACGGCGCACTTCTCCTCTGCTTTGCTCTTCAGCTCAGTGACCGTGGCCGAGGCCTTCTCCTTCAGCTGGTCCATGTCCATGTTCTGCAAGTTCTGAAATTGGCCCATTAAGGAGTCCTTGCCCTCCTCCTCGGTGGCGTCCTCGTCCACCATCTTCAGCAGCTCCTCGGGCACGTCCACGTCGTCCCCGGCCATCTCGATCATGTTCTCGTCCTGCTCGCTCTGCAGAAACATTTAGAGACATGTCAGGACTGTAGAGACTTGTGTTCTGACTTCTGATCAAATAAAACTGATTTTGGGTCATTTGGGAATAAAAAGAGAATTTTATTTGTGTTTTTTATTTAATCTCCTCTCTTCTTTGATTTTATACATTCACTTAATGAAACGGTGCTGGTTTGATTTCAAATATTGAAAATGCAACAAAGAAGGAATCCTTATTTTTACTCTGGGAGCCATTTTTCAAAAAACTAATCTGGTGAATGGTCATGCAATGGGCACCGTCTTCTGTTGACTCAAAATTTCAATCTGTGGGATTATCTCGAGCACGTTCAGCGTTTCTTTTTATACTCCTAAACAGAGTCTAAAGATAGTTTGCATCGCATTGCACGGGGCAGTCATTTCTAATTTCACATCAGTATAAATGACAAAGAATCTCAGCTAAAAAAAAAACTATGTAAAATTGTTAATTTTCAGTTTTAATAAAATGTTTTTTATCATCAAATAATGTAAACACAATCTGAGGAAAATATTCACATTAATTTTCTACTTTTTAAATGATTGAACTCCACATAACATATTATTTGTTTTGTTTTTTTAAAGCAAAATACCACAAATTGAAATAATCTAATGTGATTTTTTTTTTTAAACAGAACAATAACTTGTTATCACCATAAGACTAAAGGTACAGTACATTACACAGCATTTCTGCATTCGGATCAGAATTTATTGTTAAATGGCTTAAATACCTTTTTTGCTCCTTACATTCTATTTTAGCTGATGATCCTTTAATGTTCTCCAGTTGCTCAGTTTGGGTCAAATAAAGTCAATAATCCAGTAAAGTAAGCGTTTCTGTTTCTTGCAGTCAGTTCGCTCTGACCCTTGTCCTAATGAGCTTGGCAAACGTGCTCCGTGTCATCTGGCTTTCTAAGAGTGGAGGTGCAGCATGCTGCACAGGTTAATGTCCTGGATCTGGACAGAACGTCTCCTTCACTAATCTGCAGCAGAGCGTCCACCTGCTGTCTGACTGCAGCTGCCAAGTTCCTCCATCGCTGCAGAGGAAGCAGCTTCGTCTACAGGTGCAGGTGAAACCCTCAGCTGAAATGTCAAATTGTGTGTCCCCACATTACTGAAGAGTGTCGGTATTTAATAAAATGCTCAATTATACCGTCAGATATTATTATAAGTTCAACGGAAGTGATTCATTTAAAATAATCATTAAAATTTTTAATACACTTAATTTACTTGCTTAAACTGATAGACATCAGATGTTTTTATAATTATTTTTCAACAAGCATAACTCCACAGGTGAAGGGTTACACTCTTATTTTTATTATGAGCTAGCTTGAAAAGTGGGCGATCATGTAACTGCAGGTCATGTGTGCATGTTTGTCTGTTAACAAAAATAGCTCATGAACCACGGGATGGATCCGATAGAAACTCCCAAAAACTGATTAGTTCTAGGAGTCCACCTGATTCAAGATGGCTACCACAGCTAATCAAACACAAAACATCTGTAACTCAGTCAGTTTTACAGATGTTGAGCTCAGTTCTAGTGTGGTAGTAGCTGAGCATCATCCTCAACACATTCTCCAAGCGCTAACAGATCATGCCAGACCTACTGTATGTTTAAAACTGTGGCATGCAAGGCAGCAGGCGATATGCATTCCTCCAAAGAATGCCAATTACATTATCTCCCATTCATCTTTGTTTTTTACTCGTGCAAAGTACTTCACTGTAAACGTAAAGATCATGTCAGACCTTAATCTTCAACATCCAACTTTTAGAACATATGATAATGACCCAAAGACCTTATTTTCCATGCAGACTGGGCAGCGATCACTGGATGGGCAAATATTTTCTTCTTCTGGGCAATTAAAACATAAAATTAACAACTCAGGTAGAGATTACAATAAATGCTTCACAACACAGCCTGCAACAAAGCTCGTGCAAAAGGACAATGCAACCGTATACACAAAACTGTATGAGCTCTTTGTGTAAAATCTGCAAATAAATTATTTCAAAAGGAAGGAAGAATTCATCTGTAAAGATTAAAGTCTTACCCTGAGTCAAATAAGGAAGCATGTAACACGGAGTGGAGCTTAAATTCACATCTTAACCTGCATAAGATGAGGACAGTGAACATCTTGTTGTTTTTTTGTTTGTTTTTGCAGGAAAAAAAATATGGCATCATTTGTAGCAGAATGGAAAGCGAAAAGAGAATAAGAAAAAAGATTTTTAAAAATCACAGAATTAGGTTATATAAAAGATAGTAAAAACAAATTTTATTCTTTTCTCTTATCGTTTTTCTGCGTATTCTTTTGTTTTATTATCTAAAATTTTCCAATTATTTTCTTTTTGTAATATTTTTCTTCTTTTATTTATTTATACTTTTTCCATTCATCTTTCTAGGTACTTGTGTGTGTGTATATATATATATATATATATATATATATATATATATATATAAACCATTCCAACACTCTTGCAATATTCTAAACAATGTTTCTAAACTTTAAACGCTCTAAAAGAGCACAGAATGTCATGATTTCAGTTCTGCCCCCGGCTGCACTCTTGGCCACGCCCATTTATCGACTCTGCAAGGAGATCAGCTGATCAGCTGCAGGAGGAAGCTGCTTCTTCAGATGTGGGCTGCACACAAGTGCTAAATAATTTTAAATAATTTATATTAAGTAAAAAAATCCACGCCGATCTTATCAATCAGCCATTGTGTGTCATGTCCAATCTTACTTTGAAAAACCACAATAGAACGAGTCCACGAAAAACAAACCACGAAGTAGCGATGGACTACTGTAACTCCATGTCCTCTCTAACTGCATCCATATATCTCCTCTTTGTCTTTTTTCTGCCAGCCGCATTTCTAACATCCTTCTACCAATGAACTCACTCACTGTCCTTTCTCTGGACATGTCCAAACCATCTCAGTCTGGACTCTCTAACTTTATCTCCCAGTTGTTCAACCTGTGCTGCATCTCTGATGATCTCATTCCTAATCTTATCCATCATTGTCACTCCTAAGGAGAACCTCATCATCTTCATTTCTACCACTTCCAGTTCTTTCTCCTGTCTTTTTGTCAATGCCACTGTCTCCAGACCATACAACATAGCTGGTCTCACCACTGTCTTGTAAACGTTTCCTTTGACATTTGCTGACACTCTTTTGTCAGAAATCACTCCTGAAACTTTTCTCCATCCGCTCCATCCTGCCTGGACTCTTTTTTACCTCTTTACCACATTCCCCATTTTCCTGGACAATTGACCCCAAGTACTTGAAGTCCTGCACCTTTGTGACCTCTGCTCCTTGTAGCCTCACTGTTCCACCAGCCTCCATCTCATTCACACACATGTACTCTGTCTTACTACGACTGACTTTCATTCCTCTTCTTTCAAGTGCATACCTCCACCTCTCTGTTCTCTTCCACATGTTCCCTGTTCTCACCACAGATCAAAACGTCATCTGCAAACATCATAGTCCACGGGTATTCCTGCCTGATCTCATCTGTTAGTTGGTCCATCACCAGAACAAACAAGAAGGGGCTCAGAGCCGATCCTTGATGCAATCCCACCTCCACCTTGAAGCTATCTGTCAATTTTCAGCACATCTCACCACTGCCCTGCTGTCCTCATACATGTCCTGTACCAGTCTAACATACTTCTCTGCTACTCCAGATTTCCTCATGTAATATTTTTCTAAATCCATAAAGACCCTGTACTTCTCCCTCAGCATCCTCAAAGCAAAGATGGCACATGTGGTGCTCTTTCTTGGCATGAAAGAACTGCTCTCAATCCCAGTCCCTGCTCACAGTCACCTCTCGTCTAAGTCTAGCTTAATATGGGCACCAGCACACTTCTCCTTCATTCCTCAGGTATTTTCTCACCCTCAAATATGCCATTGAACATTTGAGTCAAAAAACTCACTGACATCTCTCCAAGACATTTCCAAACCTCCACTGGTATGTCATCAGGTCCTACCGCCATGCCCAATCAGGTTTGCTCCAATCACCACTCTCCTCCCTGAGAATACTCGCTATCACTTCACCCAGATCATTTCAATATTCATCTTTCTCCTCCACATCACATCCAATCTGTGGAGCATAACCACTGACAAAATTTAGCATCAGATCTTTTACTTCTACCTTCAGGCACATCACCCTATCCGACACTCTTTTCACCTCTGCTACATTCTTTGCCAACTCCTCCTTCAAGATCACCCTTACTCAATTAATTTTTCTATTCACACCATGGTAAAACAGTTTGAACCCTGCTCCAATGCTGCGAGCCTTGCTGCCTTTCCACTTGGTCTCTTGGACACATAAAACATCTACCTTCCTTCTCTGCATCATGTCAGCCAGCTCTCTATCTTTGCCTGTTATTGTCCCAGCTTTTAGAGTTGCCACCATCAGTCCTATATTCTTGACTTTCCTCTTCTCCCTCTGTCTCCTGACAGGTTTTCCTCCTCGTGGTCTTCGACTAACAGCAGCACAATTTCCGCCGGCACCCTGTTTGTCAACAACACCAGTGACGTCATTGTTAACCCGAGCCTTGATCAATCTGGTATGGTATGGCTTTATACTATTAATGTGCTGAATTACATGGTTTACCTGCAGAGACAGACTCAGGTGTGTTTACCTTTGGCAGCCTGTACTTATCCCTGAGGCACACCCTCAGTGTTGCCCTCTCTGCCTTCTTGTGTAAGAAATCTGCGTCTCTCTGCATCCTGGACGGACAAAAAGATGTACAGATGTCATTGAATGATTCCTTTTAAAACTCACCACACAAAAAATTACATACAGTATATATTTTTGGATACATATTTTTTATGAACGCTTGCATTCTAAAAGTGAATGCCTACAAGTTCTTTACAGTCTACTTAAACTGTTTTAGCAATTTTTATCTTTTTTTTTCTCCTTTTGGTTATATTCAATCACTAAAAGATGACTGTGATACTTTGTGTTAATTTAAGCCTGAAATAGACAAAACAAAACAAAACAACAAAAGTACCATATATAGGAAACAATATTTTGCTGCAGAATAGAGAATTATAAATTATCTTTACCATTTTTGGCTCCAAAATCATATTTTAAGAAAATCTTTACATCTTTAAATTCTGTGCTATCATTATTTAAGACTACTTGTTACGGGTGTATACTTCTGTAGCTTAATTATAGCCCTCATGCATTTCCCTCAGCCAATTACAGAAGAGATTATTGGCCCAAATTGAGTAAAGCAGATCTTAAATTAGTCCAAAACATCACAGTTGAACAATAAATTACAAAAAATAAAATAAAATTGCGTTTCAAACAAGATTATTTGTTATGTCGATGCAATAAATGGGTTTAATCTGAGTTTTAGATGTGTGCAACATTTTTCATGTGCTTTAGAGTTAAGATTTGCATAGTTCATAATCTTATTGTAGAAATGTTCAGATCAAATTCAAATTTGAGTTATTTTACAAACGGATCACGTGAGTAGATGGGCTGCAGTAATCTGGTTATGTAACACAGACTGAACTAATCTCCGTGTTGCTTCAAAATCTGTTTTTATGATGAAAATACTACACTTGTGAATTTCACATATTTTTGAATTGAATTATTCCAGTTAGAAACAGATGAATTACTTAAATAATTTTAGATGAAAGCTGTGGGTTAAAATTGTGAAATTGTGTAATGAACTAAAAAGTGAAATAAGAGTACAATCTGTCTTTTGAGTCAGAAAAAATATAAACATGTAATCCTTTATGCAGCAGCTGATTAATTATATCAAAAGTTCAATACCATATACGCATAATTTATTACATTTAAGTAAGCATGATTGTTTTTTTAGGTGGAAGAACTAGAGAATCCTACAAGATATCTATATAATTTTTGTGCAGAAACCAGATGGTTATTAGATGTTTTTTACAAGTGGATTATCAACGTTGCCAAACTTTGAATTAACATAAAACCACCATTTACTAGGCTAATACATCTGCTTTGACCTTCAGAAACAGATGCATTTCTCAAAACTCCTGTTTATTTAATATCATAAAGTAGCCAAAAGGAGATTTTAGTGAAGTTTAAATGAGATTAACAGTTTGCATCTGATAAAGGGTGGAAAATAGGAAGTTATTGATAAAACACATCAAGGTCACATTTGACTTCCTGCAGCCATCATGTTGTCCTCAGGCCTGCAGGTCCTCCTCCTGTCACTTACTTCTCCTCCACCAGCTGTTTCTGGTACTCCTCATACTCCTCGCGTGTCATCCCTGCAGCTTTGGCTGGATCTGAGGGGGTGGCCTCCTCTTCTTTGTCACCTCCACCACCAAAACCCATTCCTGACAGGGGGTTCCCGATCATGCTCTTGATCAAAAAAGCCATCCCGACTTGTGCGTGCGCTCACTCCGCAATGGAAGAGGGGCTTTTTGTGGAGAAAACACAATATCACCCTCCTTTGACTTCGCTTTGGCTTCCAAATCCAGTGGTAGCTCTCTTGCTAACCTCCTGCTTGTCTACGAAGTGAAGGACACACTGATGGCGAATACCACACACACACACACACACGTTTTACAAAGGCCATAATCTGGATTTAATCCTCCCTGCTTCACTAAACTAAGAGGCAGATGGCCTGTTTTCTCTATTTTTAAACCACACAGACCTGAGTATTTTATAGACCTGTTTGATGTTTGAAACCTTTTAAGGCAATGCTTGCTTCTTAAATAAACATAAAAATAAAAGTGTGGGTGTTACATATCCACACTTTTTACTAACAGAGCACAGCAGCTTAATCATACTAGTGAGGTGCAGGCCGGCCCATGTGCAGCTTACACCGCTGAGATCAAGCCGAGCGGAGGGAGAGGAGCAGGATTATTTTCTCATTTATCCCCATGAAGTCATCCTTCATGCAGCACTTGTTGTTTGACCGAAGGGTGGGAGAACGGGACTGGAAGGAGACGCATCTCGTCGCTCCATCTTTACTCCTATCACATCTTTAAACTCACCTAAAGCCCATTTCAGATACATTCATCCATCCTAAAACCTGTCCAAAATGTGTTTTTGTTTACTTAAGCTGTTTTTTAAGAGAACTTTTTGGATAATTGAATTCACCGCCAACAAGTTCCAGCTCAGTCCACATGGATGCGGCCAAAACACCTCCCCTATGAGGCATCGAGAGAGTCCTAAGCAACTATCCAATCCACCTCAGCTGGCTTCGATAGGATAGAGCAGTAATTATTTAAAACTTTAGGGTTAAAAGATGCAATATACAAATCCAAAACAGAGTAGATGTGTCGCGCTACACTGGTGATCACATACAAAACGAGACGTCACTTATGTCAACAGTTTATGTAATTTGTTCAGGCAGAGAGCACGTCTGACAACACAAGAGAAAACAGCAGATTCTTGACGTTGGGGTCGCTGAACACTTTTTTATACAAAAATACCGTCATTGCACTTTTTTTTTTTTTTTTTAAAACATATTTTTTTTATGTTTAAGGACTGAGGCAGATTTCAGTTTCTGAAAACAAAATTTGAAGTTCTGACCAGGCAGAAATACTGTAAGGAACATGGTACATATCTTGCTGAAACAAGTCTCACACTAGCATTCATACACAATTTACTGATCAAATTAAAAGTCTTCTGATAATTAAAACAAACTCTTAAACAAAACCATTTTCTCCATGCACAATAACTTACAATCTGAAAATAATTGAACTGAATTAGGAAAAACTGACAACTTCTCGTATAAACCCACATCATCAAAAGAACTTCTTTGCTGCTGCTTCTTGTTGACTTCTACAAAAAAAGAGAAGACAATTTATGAGTTCTTTAAGAAAGCAAACATGCTTACAAAATAAAAACAAATGAACTTTCTTACTTGTACATGATGTAGCAGAAGAACAAGACTGACTGGACGACGATGACCACCACAAAATGAACAGTGGACAAGCAGGAAGGCAAGGGGGGCAGCTCGGGGCACTTCACAGCCTTATCACCAGGGATCTGTAGACGAAGAGCAACAAAATGTGCAGCTACTATAAGAAACTGACTGTCTTAATAAACTACAAAACAACAACAACAAAAATAAAAGGAGAGCATCCTGTGCTCCAGCATCAACGTGTGGCACGGAGGCTGCACAGCTGCAGAAAGAAAAGCTTTGCAGAGAGTGGTGAAGGCTGCACAGAAGATGTTGGAGTCAGTCTCCCCACCATCAGACATCTACACCTCCAGATGTAGGAAGAGGGCCAACTGCATCATGAAGGACCCCGCTCACCCAGCACACACACTTTTTGCCCTGCTCCCCTCAGGAAGGAGGTTGAGGAGCATTAAGTGTAAAACCACTAGACTGAGGAACAGCTTCTACCTGAAGCTGTTAGACTCATAAACCTCTAACAAGGAAATCACTAATGTCACTTTAATTGGCGACATGCGACTTATCTGTGCTGCTGATTATCCATGCTGCTGATCGCTTGCCTTTATGCAGCTGTATTTATATCAATCTACTCACTACAGATGCATGTTCGGGCTGCTGTTCAATATACCGTATTGTTTTATATTATTAGTGTTTAACATAAATCTTAGACCTTTTCGTGTATTTAGTGTTCGTTTAGCGTATATCTTAGAACTTTATATACGGTTTCTTTTTATACTTTATATTTTTGAGGGTTTTTTTTTTTTTTCATTTAGCCTTTATTAGTAGTAGGTCGTCTCATTGAGCCACAAGAACTCATTTTCAACTTTGTTCCACCTCATGTACCACATGTGATGCGATGAGAAGAAACATGAACCTTGAACTTCAAGGACAATGGGGTTCAGTGTGCAAAAAAAACAAAAAAAACAATTTGACATGAAGGGAAGGAAAAGGTGAAATCAATGACCTTTGACCTGCCACAAGTTTTCCTTAAAACGTTTAGAGTTTAATACCTGAACGTTACGCTGAACCAGGTGGTCTACGTCTCTTTTCACGGTGTGTAGATGTTCCTTGATGTCGTTGAAGTGCTGAATGGTTTCGTACGTCCCCATACCGACTGCGTTCCCCTGGTGCTGGGCAGAGCCAATCTGTTTTAGGGACTCATGGAAGGAGCTTCTGCAGAGAGGGAGGACACGCAGACCTTAGAAAACGTACCGTATTGTTAAAGTATTGCATCTGAAGGCCTGAAAAATATCAAGCGAAGCCATGTTAGTGGGCGGTAAATATGCTGTGTGCCAGTTAATTCCAGTAACAGAAATGGTCTAAATTAATCCTTTAATCCCTATTCACTGTAGGCTCCATTGTCGCAAAGTTCAAACACCAGAAAATTACCATCTGATAAAAGAGGTCACGATTGCTAAATTAATCCCTTATAAAACATGTTCTGACAACAGATTACAAGAGCAGTGGGTTAAGAAAGAGAGCGGAAACTATCTGGATTATCTCATTTATAACAGGGAATGTTATGATACTAAAGACTAAATGAAAATGGTGATTTAAAATAACTAAACATTTTATTTTCCTTTACATCTACTCTGCTTTTTATTCAGTGTTGAGTAATTTTGAAATGGGACTATCTTTAACACCAGCGTCAGTTCACGTATTTTATTCAGATGTTGAAATGCAAAACATTCAAAACAAATTAAAACGTAAAATGAGATTTGTAAAATGTGGCTCTTTGATTTGTGTTTGCTGACAAAGGATTTAATTGTAAACTATTTAAATGGGTTTAAAAGTTACAGCAGGAAAAACTGGTTTATTTGCAGACATCGGCGTATTGATTTGGGTTTTAACACTTGGTGTGGGGAGGACATGTTGAGTTTCCAACAATGTTTATGTATTTCTTAAACCATAAACTCTGGTTTAACACGCCATTACAAACTAGCTGTGTTTTTATATTTAAATACTTGGGATGAGTACCAAAAATGTGCTAAATAAAAGGTTTTAATTTGGAAAAAAGTAATTCTGTTTATGACTTCTCAGGTAAAACAGACATTACTACCATTTTAAACCTGCAATAGGCCTTTACTGGTATACTTGTTCTTTACTTCCAGTTTACTTTGTTCACAAAGACGTAACGATTATGACTATTTCAAGTTTAATAGACATTTTATACATTTTATAAGACTGAGCTGAACACAGCACCTCAGACTGAGGAAGTCTTTCGGATGAAAGACGAAACGTTTCTACATTTTCTTGTTGTTTTTTGTTTTTTTGAATGTCCAGAGGACCAGATTTAACTTTTTTAGATTTTTCTACATGGATTATTTAGCATGCATCAGGAAATTTAATAGACATTGTTACTAGGGATGCACGATATTGGATTTTTGGCCAATATCCGGTATTTAACTTTAATGCTAATATCTGCCGATACTGATACCATACCGATAATATTGTGCACCCCTAATTGCTACATTCATTTTTGCAGATCTGAAACAAAGAAAATAGTTTGATTTTACACTCTCTAAATGTGTTTAACTCCTAAACTTGTCATCCTCTTGAAAAAAAAAAAAAACTTTATATCTATCTTCAGAAATATAAGTATGGTAGAAAGCATTCTATCATTTGAATTGCTGTAGCCTAACACGGCTCAGAATGTGAAGACAACAACGCTCAGCTGGTAAAACTTACTGGTCTTCATTTACTTGGACGTGTGGCACTTACATGAACCTTCTGTAAAAGCCCAACTCTTGTTAAAACACATGTTGGACAGTACAGGCTAATGCATTTAACTCGTCGTATTTGTCTTAAAGATTTGCGTCACTGATAAAATCCCTAAAAATCATTATGTTCCCCTAAAAAAAAAAAAAAAAACATTTTTCAAGTCTGCAGAAGCTCAGATTAAATTTAGAACAGTAAATGTAATTTCATCCAAATATAAAGTTTTAAATACAAAATAAAGTCACCTCAGAGGAGAATCTAAGCCTGGATCACATTTCTCAGCAAACTGTAATTTCTTAAAGTTGATTTCTTACACGGAGGAAGCAATACGTTCCCTTTATCATCTTAAAACACATCTAAGGCGATTACGAAGGGCAAAAGTGAGTCGACAAATTAACAGAATTTCCAGCAGTGTAAGTAGGAAGGCCCCGGGGAGGATTGTGACAAGAAATCAATTGGATGGGACCCGTGTTTTGCTCGTGTATGACAGATGTATTTAAAGAGCGCTAATCTGATAAGGGCAAAACGGTGCTAAGATGGGGCCTTTTCTAGCAAGGTCTGAGACAGGGATGACATGTAAACAAAATCTAATTTGTTTCACAGTGAATAGTGGAAAAAAAAAAATTCCCTTGAGAAAGTAAGTGAGCATTATTAAACCCTGCATGTAATCTTCATCTCCTACAAGTGACCCATTTCTGAACAGAAAGCCTCCTTTGTATGTGCGGAGAGCCCGAGATGAAGTCCTATCATAAACTCTGTTTAAATGACGGGTCAGGATAAACCGAGAACTTAATCTACCCAGTAAGACAGATCAGTCGTTCACATTAGCACATTAGAGGGGCAAGCTGCAGCCTTTTGCCAGTGTCTGAACTTATTTACCGCATCAATCAGCTTACTTCTGAGCACCAGCCTATCTTAAAATTGCCTCTCAGCTTATCGACATTTTACCTACTCACTATGGGTCATCGTTCACCCGCAGAGGTCAGCATGCAGGGCTGAATGCAGAAAAAAATGTAAATATGACTTAAGCACCGCTTGATTTATGTGTCAACCGTATGATAAAGAAAATCATGTATGCAGCATAATTTAAGAATAGATGTTCTGCTGGATTGAGGGCATTTCAACAGCTTGATTCTTTTACGACACAAGACCAAGAGATTAATGTTACATAAAATACAATCTTGGGATTTTGATTAATTCTTTTCTGCAGACGGTGTGATAAAACAGACAATTAAACAGCGACTCGAGTTCAAATGTGTTGTCACTGTAAAAACATGGTTAGTCAATCAGAGGCTTTAATAGAATACGTTGGAACAAATTAAATTTTAGAAGCATTTCGAAACGTTTCAGATTTGATTATTACTCAACTAAAAAGGGTATAATCTTGTATTATTAATGATTATTTCATATGACTAGTTATTAGATTTGTATCTAAATCATTTGGTGTGACTGAGAAAAATCCATGCGCTAATCTGATAGTGAAGATTTAATCTGTCGCGAGACCACTGCAACTAAATCCCAAGTCCAACGACACAAAAGCACAAACAATACACAAGCCCCTAAAAGTTGGGATTAATGTTGAATGTAAAATCAGTGAGTTTTACTTAATGCAAGTAAAAGCAAACTGTTATTTCAGAGTTTGCTTCGTTTTGAAACCTCTTAAGCTGAAATACTGGTGTCATTTTTCACACTAAGAGTGGATAAAGGTGATTTTATTGTTATGAAAGAATAGGATTTAAAGTGCCGGTGACGTGCAGGTCCTACAAATGCAAAAAGCAAGAAAACACCTCAGCTGAAATATTTGGCACAAAGCACGTGATTTTACCCATTTTGTCAATTAACATTTTCTTGTGAACTTGGTGTAGCCAAAGATAAACGGTGACGTCAAAGAGGAACTTCTTAGTCTTTGTGTAAAGAAACAAAACTGACTTTTCTTTGTTTTACTGATACAGAGACTCAAAATAATCTATAGAAACATCAGATTATTTGCTACTGCCCGTGTTGTTAGCCACTGTGGCAAAGCGCTCCAAACAGGCGTTCCCTTTGTCACCACTTCCTGTTACTGCAAGTTGTTTATTTGTCATACGCAGGTTAACACAAGGTCAACAGTGCAATGAAATGTTCAGGATGAGAAGAACAGATTCAACTAAACACCAGGAACAAATATGAAAATACTAAAGCATGCAATAAGAGTACATAAAGTACCAAAAAGTGAAAATGAATTACAATATTTACAAAGTCCAAAAGAAATATAGTAAACAACAACCTGGTAAGACTATAGCGAAGCAAGTAAGATGGATTTGTATGAATACGTATTTCAAGGTAGTAATATAAAAGCTTAAATGCACGATATATATTGCACATTAACAAAGTACACAGGTTGTGTGACGGGTTATTGCACAGGTAGTGACACTGAGATGAATTATGATGGTAAGGTAGTGACATACATGATACAGCCACATAGTGCAGCAGCAATAAACAGGTGTTACAGTTGTGGCTTGGTGCAGTTATTGTCGAGTTCAGTAATTTGACAGTTTGTGGATAATAACTGTCCAAGTCTTTTCGTGCACGATGACAGACTCCTGTATCGTCTGCCTGAGAGTAGTAGACGGAAAAGTTCTTGTGCTGGGTGGGTGTGGTTCTTAATGATACTGCACACTTGCAAATATATCAATATCAGCGGCGTTAATTGTTTTTTGTGATACGTTATTAATGTATCTTTCCAAAAATGCCTTCATATTTATTTACCCCAAGAATTTGATGTCACAGGCACTCTGAGGTTGAATATTAATTCAACTATCGTACAGTATTTTTTGTAAACTGTGTCTGAAGTACAAGCCTGGACAAATTGGTAAAATGGGTTTCTGGTAAATGCAACAACAGTGTTGACTGTCCTACAGGGCAGTGCGTGTTTCCAGCAGCAGCGAGTCATAAGACGGCAGACTGACTTCACAGCAGCTGGATTACCAGGCACCTGCGATGTTACAACCATGACATCCTGAGATTAAATACGATTTATGAGATTTATCCTGCAGGATTTCCCTTGTTTTCCTCAAGTATAACGGCTGTCTCTTTATGTTCGCTGCAAAAACAACAACCAGCTTTTAAGACCGAGCGCACGTGTGCAAGAGCACCGTTGTTACTCACCTCATCTCATTCAGATTTCTGAGAACCTCCTGCTGCGCAGCTACGATGGAGCCCAGCTGCTGACTGGCAGAATCCAGCTGAGAGAAAAACACATCGTACTGGTCGGTAACAGACTGACGCTGGATTTAAAAAACTCAAAGAATCAACTATAATACACAGTGAAATGACTGCTTTGCTTCTTGGTACCAATTGAAACCACATCATATGAATTTGTATCCACAGTAGTGGGTTTTTTTTTTTAGCATTTTGTTGCGATTCGGTTTCTTGGTGCCCACCTGTCCTGACCCAGGATGTCCTCCTTTCTTTGCCATCTCCTCTGTGACGATGGAAACGTATCTGCGCTGCTCGTCCAGGAGCATAGCAAGCTGCCGGTTGACCTGTTTGATCTCCAGATGGATCCGGTTCTGGCCTTCGAACACCTGACGGATCTCGCGGTCACTCACGCTCTCGTACGGATCCTCAACTGAAAGAGGCACGAACAAACAACTAATAACAACAAAAGCAATAAACTTTCTGTGGATAAACCAAAAAGTTAATTTGTGCTCATATTTGTTTATTTTAAAATACATTTTGAGCTCAGACCTTCCAGCTTGCATACGTTGACCAAAACTGGAAATATATGATTATGAAACATTTTAGATAAATTTAAACGAAGAATCTTGGAGTGCTCCAAAAATTGATAATAGCAGCTAAAATAAGAGTTGAAAAAAGCTCACTCGTGCACCAGCCGGTGAAAAAAGGTGCTTTTTGTGCGAATAAGTAACACATTATAAACCAATTTTTAGAAAATAGAAGTGAAAGGATGCTGAGGGTGCAAACTGTAGCAGAACATCTATAAAGAGGGTAACACATAAGACACTAGTCATTGTTATGATGAATAACTTAAAGTATGTTGTTACCCAAGCATTTTGGAAATATAAAACATGAGAAGAAAACTTACTCGGCTCCCCTTGAACGTTCGGGTGCTCTTTTTGAAACGCCTCTTTCTTTTTATCAAGCTCTTGCTGGAAGTTTTGAAATTCCTCCTGGTACTTGTCTTTCTCTTCTTTAGGAATCTCAGCTTCAGCTGGAGGCTTGAGAGAGACACACACACACGCACGCACACACACACACACACACAATCAGTGCGTAAAATTACAGCTGTGTTTAGCTGAAATAAAAATGAAGTAATAGATACACATGGGACAGAAAAGATGTATTAGAAAATGTAGTTACCGGTTGCTGGCCTGGTTCTGAGAGTCTGAATAACAAGAAGGACAAAACATCGTGGTCATCTGATGGAGGCAAGAAATTCTCAATTAGAAAATCAATGCAACAGTAATGCATGTATTTAATGGCAACGCCTCACGTTACAGTGTAACAATTCTGTAATTATAGAGTATCAACATTAAGTTGTCACAAAAAATATATTTTTAATAGAGACTGAATGTCAAATTAAACTAGAGAAATTGTATTTTCTGCTAAAATGCAGTGTGAATGCTTATTGCAGAAGAATTTACTGAAAAACAGCTGAAATTAGCTAGAAAAAAAACCATGCTGAAATTGAAAAACAATCCTAAATCACCACAAGAAACCAGAAAGAGCACATATTTGCTGAATTAGGTTTAAATACGCAGAAATCAGCACAAAAATTAGGAAATTAGCTAAAAAAGCTGAAATTAGAAAAAAAAAAAAAAAAAACAGCTGAAAAGTAGCTGAAAAGTCAGAAAGAAGCTTAAACTACCAGAATGAATCGGAAAGAGCTAAATGAGCTAAAAAAAAAAAGGTGGAATTAACTGAAAAAGCTAAAATTAGCATAAAAGAGCAAAACATTAGCTGAAATAGCAGAAAAAGCTGAAACTATTTGAAAATGCTGAAATTAGTATAAAGAAATTAAGTAGGCTGAAAGTGGCAGAAATTGCCATGAAAAACTTCAATTTATCTGAAAACAGCTGAAACTACCTTAAAAATGCTAAAAAGCTAACTGGTAGAACAAGCTTGAATTATGCGAAGAAAGCAAAACAAACATGTTTGTCCAATTAGGCTGAATGAAGCACAAATTAGCACAAAAATGTGGAACTTATCTGAAAAAAAAAGCAAAAAAATTAGTAAAACCAGCTGAAAAGTAGCTAAAAAGGAAGAAAGAAGCTTAAATTATTAGAAGGAAGTGAAGAACATTTTGCTGAATTCGGCTGAAAAACATTGAAATGAGTGCAAAAAATGTGGAATTAGCTGAAAAAATAAAAATTTGCATAAACAGCTAAACAGTAGCTGAAATAGCAGAAAAAGCTGAAACTAGTTGAAAAAGGTGAAATTAGTAGTAAATTAATTAGGCTGAAAGTGGCAGAAATTACCATGAAAACTTCAGTTTATCTGAAAACAGTTGAAACGAACTTAAAATGCTAAAAATGTAGCTGATAAGGTAGAATAAACTTAAATTATGAGAAGAAAGAACAAACACGTTTTCTCAATTAGGCTGTTTGAAAAAGAAATGAGCACAAAAATGTGGAAATTATCTGAAAAAAAAAAGGCTGAATATTCCAAAAAGCTAAAGTTGAACCAATACCAAAAGTCCTGGCAGGACTGTCCTGAAAGAGCTGAACGTTTTGATGTGATTTGTTGAAAGAGTTTGAAAACCACGGGACGAGAATCGCGCTGAAAAACGTATGGAAGAAGAATGGATCGCAACAGTGTGAACGTTTCATAAGCGTTCAAACAATAAAACAGGATGCAACATAAAGAAATAAAATAAAATCATTATTACAAGATGCTTCATCATTAACAAAAAGAAAAAAATATGTAAAAACTTGTTTCATTCTGTTCATTTAATAAATTATAAAACACCTGTTATAAAAAAAAAAATTATAAAAAAAAGCCAGTAATATGTGATGAACTAAAAGGGAAGGTGACAAGAGAACAAAACATTTTATTAAGTTTATTCTGTAGATATTAGGAAGTGGTAATAAAATAATACCTGCTAAACCACCGGTGGCAGCTGAAATACCAAAGAAGCCCTCAGTAGGAATGATCATGTTTTCAATCTTTGTGCAGAACTCGTAGTCCTCTTTATCTGGAGTGAAACCGTTGTTGATCAAGACCTGACAAACATTAGAAAACACTTCATTATTTCTTGTAATAACACCAGAACTTGACTGTAAAGTATATGTACTTAGTTCGTACACAGCTGCGACTTCACCCACCGTCAGTGTCTTTTTGTAGTACGTTATTTTGGCTCTGATGGGATAAGGTTTGTTGCGGAAATCTCGTAAACACGTTCCGAGGGCTTGTGTGGTGCCGTCGCTGCATGAAAACACAATTTTAAAGAAAACTGGAATGCAACAAAACATGGCTCCACATTATTATTATTTTCCAAGCTAAGAGCAAGTGGAAAACAAAGTATAAGCAAACGTTATTAATGTTTTTGTAAACATCTCTTTAGTGTAATGTAAAGTCTATAAACTCCAAGACAAACCAGAGTGGCACTGAAAAAGTGATTTAAAGCTTTCACTTGCCCAGGGGGAGATTAGTAAAGACAGAGGATTATTTACTTTCCAAGCAAATATAATCATATTTTCTAATCTTCTTTAAGTTGCTGAAATTTTAGTTGGTGATGTCATCAGAGGAAAGCAAAAAGAAATGTTTACTTACTTTTGGTGGTCATAAACAAGCTGGCCGTTGTTCCCAACAACAAGAATAGTTGGGTTATTTTTCTGAAATCATAACATTATGGAAAAGAAAACAAGTTAATCTTTTTGTTTTCTGATGACTAAGTGGCTTTGCGCTTCAGTAATCTTATTGAAAATATCTGTCGAAAAAACAAATTATATTTAAATGTCAAATTAAAACAGTAGTTTTTACGAACGCAGTTATATTTAACATAATTACAGTTGATTTCCACATCCGCCAGACAAAAATAAAAACAATGTACGACAACGAAGCTCCTCATTTAGCAGAAAGACTGCTGCAACACAAAAACCCCTCAAATAAAAAGATATATAAATAATGTTACAAAGACACAAACCTTCCCATCGTTGTCAAAGGAGTCAAAAAAGATTCCAACTCCGTTCCACTTATCAGCAGCACCGTAAACTGGACCATCGAGGCCTTGTTCAGTGGTGAACCACACAGCCTGAGGGAAGGGGAAAAATCAGAGGAATACAGTTTTTTTTAAACAAAAAGGTTTAAAATTTTACAGATCCAACAGTACCAGTACTTTTTTTCTCCCCAAAATATATGGACTTCCACTTACATTCATTTGAAAGTCAGGGCTTATATATAAAAAATGTCCCACCTTTTATGTTTTTGACTTTTACTACCAAAACAAAGAGCTATAATCAGTTTTAAGAAAACACACTATTTTAGGTTGTGTTATGTCTGCTCTCCTGTTCAACATCACCGCTAACTGGGTGATGTGGTGAACAGTGGAAGATAAGGTGAGAGGCATGGTGGATCCTACTAACAGCACTTCAAGTCCTGGAGTTTGCGGACAACCTGGCTCTGGTCTGCCATACTCTCAAATACTGCTGTACCAGAGTTGTGTATTCCTATATTACAGAGTTGTGTATTCCTATATTACAGATCTTACTGTTCCATATTTTCCTAACAGAGCACTTTGCTCTCAGGCTGCAGGTTTACTTGCGGTTCCAAGAGTTTCCAAAAGCAGAATGGGAGGAAGATCTTTCATTTATCAGGCTCCTCTTTTGTGGAACCGACTTCCAGTTTCTGTCTGTGAGGCTGACACATGGTCCAGTTTTAAGACTGGGCTTAAGAGTTTCCTTTTTGATAAATCCTATAGTTAGGGTTGGCTTGTTATGCTGCTATAGGCTTAAACTAGTTGGCCTCATTTCCTTAAATGAATTGTTAAAATTGAATAATTTTCATTTGATACCATTTCTGTCTTAACGTGATTCTCAACTTGCGATTGTGTATCTGTTCCTCTCAAACCCAGCCGGTCGAAGCAGATGGTCGCTAGTCCTGAGCCTGGTTCTGCTAAAGGTTTCTTCCTCGTGAGGGAGTTTTTCCTTTCCACTGTCGCCTTCATGTTTGCTCAAGATGAGAGTTCTGTGATGGAGTTAAACTCAAAGCAGTCTGCTCCTCAGATAAATAATGTTAAATTATTATTTTTATATACGAATGTTTCTGTTCAGTGCCCTGAGATGACTTCTGTTGCGACTTGGCGCTGTATAAATAAACTGAATTGAAGTGAATTTAATTGAAATGGATTGGGCCTGTGCTTAAGAACCTGGTAAACACTCGTGCAGCCCTACACTGGACGCCAGAAGGCAAGCAGAAGAAGTGCAGACCAAAGAACACCAGGCGATGAATGGTGCAGCTAGAGATGAAGACTAAACCACACCTTGGGCACCATTCAGATGCTAGCCTAGTGCAGACAGGAGTGGACGACTTTAATGGCTGCCCTACATGCCTTCAATGATGATGATGATGATTATTTTTAGTAGATGTTGTTCCCCATAAATACCCCGACTAAACTGGTGCATTAGACTGTTAGATTTTTGTTGACAGAGAGTAAATCTTGGTGCAGTAGATGAGGACGAGAGTAATTTTGCTGTTTGGTCTTGTTATGAAACAAATCGACACGTACATTAATTGGAGTCAGACGCACCTTCTGAAACCAGCGGTGCAAGTTTGGTACTCATAGTGCAACCAAAGATGCTCAGTGCATTGAAGTGTTGTGTCAGACTGTAAAAAATAAATGCACGTTTGATGCAACTCGTTTAGAGAAATCTGAAAATCTGAGGCTTGGTGGACTAAAGTCGACAATTCTAAATATTGTTGACAAAAGTTTGAGACTAATTTATTGCCTGAGAAAAGTGCGGAAATTCATTTCTGTCAATTCATTTTTGTAAACTAAATCGACATTATTTAGGCTTGACGTCCAAGAAGAGGGTGTTCTTAAGCAAAAGCTGAAGCTTGCATAGTTTTCCTTTATTCCCCCACAGCCTGACACCCACTGAACATGGACTCCCGGTAGACAGCTCTATAGATGAAATGTGCACTGATTAATTAGGTATTTACATTATTCATAAAGTGGTAACAGTGAAAAACAGTAAAGCTATTCTAGCTCACTGCTTTGCAAACCACACACACACAGATGCCTCAGCCAACGGCACGTTTAAACCCAGACGGTCCGGTTGTTAAGCAACAGTTCAGACCCTTGCAACTTCATCCAAGCCTGAAACACAGGACTCTCTTGGCTGCTTCACTGAGAATTCAATTCTCCTTACCAGACCGTCAGCTCCCATTCTGCCTCTTCCTGTTACTCTGAAGGTCACCTCGGCCTCCCAGCTTTCAAAGTTGACTCTGTTTTTTGTCCACACAGACCCCCTTTGACTCCGGAGAGACGGTGTAATGCGCACCTGATCTGCGCTTGGAATGGCATCTGGAATAAAGACAGCAAGTATTGTGTGTAATTATTAGAGAGACTATTAAAAAGATTTCTATGGGTTGCTTAGTTAGGCTATTTGTTATATTTTGTTAAAATGAAAAACACACAGCTCAGGAAATATTGCACTTAAAAATAAAAGTCCCACTGTAGAGAATTATTTAAGACAAGTATACATTCGTCTCCATTTTACTTCAAGGAGAAATTGTATTTTTTAGCTCAGAATAACTTCTTCAGCTTAGTACCTAGTTAAATATATTTTTTAAGTATTTGTCAAATGTATTTGCAAAATGGCTCAAGTGGTCACTGTAGCATGGTCTCCTTAAAGATGTCACAATGTGATTTGTAAAGTTAATGAAGGCAGATTTTGCTCCTTTAATGAACTAACCAAAGATAAATGTAAGGTTAAGATGGTGACCCAACGAGGACCTGCTCATGTCCTGCATAGAAAACATGCTTCTCTGTCCCTGATCTTGTACCAACTATTTTCTCTTGGTTCTTAGTTACTGAAGTTACCTTGAATTATTTAAAGGGACAATTAGTTTGGGCCCCAAAGGCTGATGTCAGCAGCTAAATGTGATAAACGAATCCTAAGAAAGGCCGGTTTGTGCAAGAACACAGTTGGTAATGCATCTATATGTATCTGCGTCAGTCGCCTGACGGTTCCTGGTCTGGGCTTAGGGCTGCCATCTTTTAGAAAATGAAAAAAGATCACCGATTGGACAGGCTAACGCCGAGGAAGGGGGTACTTTGTTGTCTAGATAATATTTATATGCAGATATGAGATGCACTTTCAACCACGAGTAATGCCAACATGGATGACATGGATCTTAAGCTAGTGTTTAGCTCATTTTAATTAGCTTTTACTACTTTCAACCAGCCTTTCATTACTTTTGACTAACCTTTGGCTGCTTTTAGCTAGCATTTAGCTTTTGGTTAGTGCTTCTATAATAAGTGTTAACTTATATTAACTGGACCTTTTGCTATCTAACAAGGTTAAGTCAGGACATCTGGATGGATTGAACAAAGAAGAATACGTCTGTTAGATTTTTCTACCTGGATTATTGAGCATGCATCAGGAGATGGCCTTTTGCTACTTTTAGCTAGCATTTCATAACTTTTTGCCAAACTTTATCTGCTTTTAGCTTGCTTTTTGCTTTTATCTTGCAGTGGTAGATAAACTAACCAAAGTTTGCAAAGATAAATGTAAGATTAAGATGGTGACTCAGTGAGGACCTGCTGCATGTCTTGCATAAAGACATGCTTCTCAGTCCCTGATCTTGCACCATTTTCTCTCAGTTCTTAGTTAAGTCACCTTGAATTCACCAAAGGGACAATTACTTCAGGCTCTAAAGATCTAGCTAACCTTTGGCTGCTTTTAGGCACTTTCCTCTTCTAGCATTTAGAGTTGCTTCTTTTATCTTTAAATTTAAGCTAATGTTTAGCTAATTTTACCTATACTTTGCTACTTTTAGCTAGCTTTCGATCACTTTAGCTCGTGGTCTGCTTCCTTTGGCTTTGACAACTCAACTCCTGCATATTTCAGCAGAGTCGTTCATTATTCACTGTTCACATTGTATTTTTCCTAAAGGTGAAGTTACTCTAGTTTGTATTTGAAACGTGTTGACTTTAAATCAAAGTTTTTGTCCGGTTTAAGACGAGCAGCAGCTTAAAGCACACTTAGCTGAAAATTAACTAACCTATTCCCAGCAGATTAAACCCTGCCTCCTCAGCACAGATTAGATAAATCACTCACCTGTTTCATTATCAACAGATTAACGCTGGCTCTTAAAGTTAGTTGCTTATCAGTCTAATAAGGAAGGAGACTTTTTAGTTTCAAACATGGGACTGCTCCTTGTTTTAGTCGCACTAGCGGACTCCGAGATGCTAAAGCTGCTAAAACCTGAGCAGTTTTGTTTTGGAGCTCAGGATGAACTGATCACAGCTGGATCCGAACTTACTTCCAGTGTGGATCCAAAACGGAATGCTGCCGTCGGACTGAGACAGGTGCGGTCCTTTGAAGCTGTATTTGTACTCGAAGCGGCGGTGAGGAGGCTCCTCTGGGGCCGGGGGGGAGCCCACGGAGAGGTCGGCCATGCTCCGGTGGAAAATCACCGCCGTGAGGAAAGTTAACGCCAATGTTTGCAGGTTCACCGCCGGGAGCCGTGCTATGGACACCGCCATGTTTGTGTCTCTCTGCTGACGTAGCGCTCAGTACGCGCGAGCACGACGGCACGCTGTAGGGCCAACAGGGCGTTTTCTCATTGGTCGGTTTTTGGCTCCTATCTTTTGTTCCCGCCTCCTTTTCTTCATCTGCCCAGCTGGAGCCACAGAGGCCCACATGGTGAAACCACGTGGGCAACAGCAACATAGCAGATATTGCTTTATCATCATAATAATAATTAATAGGATAAAAAGTCTCGTTGGGCACACAAATAATGTAAGTGCTCGAGTTCTGAACATTTCAGTTTTCAAATGTTATGTGGTATTGAATAAAGTATCCAATTCAATACGTTGACCAAAATCCTATAGCTTCATCAGTGATCACCAACTGGCGGCCCACGTGCCTTTTCCGGTCTGCAAGGGTGTGCGTGTTCAGATTAATAAATGCTGCGGGCTTCCAGTTGCATTTCAGGCTCTTAAAAGTGTGATTTTATTTTCCATGAATGTTTTTTTAATCCTATTTCTTAAAAAAATATTTGCAACAATATCCACTAAATAACAGAGAAAGGTTGTGCACATCCTGATGTGCAATGATCAGTAGTGACTTCTGAGCATAATTATTGTGAGTAGTGGCTTAAGACTTTCCTTTTTGATAAATCCTATAATTAGTCGTCTTGGTTTCCTGACATATTCCTTATTCAAGGATTCAAGGTTCTTTATTGTCATTTGCATCACATGTGGTACATGAGGTGGAACGAAACTATGTGCACACACAGGGTCCCAGTTACATCCAACAAAAATACAAATTGTAAAGAAAAAATAGTGAGATCCAAATGAACTAAGAAATAACACTAAACTAAGAATACACTAAACTAAGAATACACTAAGCACTAAACTAAGAATACACTAAACTAATAATACATTAAATACACTAAACTAATAATACACTAAATACATTAAACTAAGAATACACTAAACTAAGAATACAGTTAGCACTAATAATACAAAACATGCACCAAACAACAGCAGCACGAACATGAGTCTGTGTGAGCAGATGAGGACGAATGAACACAGCAACATGAAATAAATCAGCAGCATGAGATCAGCATCATGGATAGTCAGCAGCACATATCAACAACCAAGTGGCATTACAGTGATTTTTGTCACAGTAATTTTCACAGTGATAATCTTGACTAGGGATTCGTGAGTCTATCAGCCTCAGGGTAGAAGCTGTTCAGCCTAGTGGTTCTGCACTTAATGCTCCTCAGCCTTCTGCCTGAGGGGAGCGGGGCAAAAAGTGTTATGCTGGGTGAGTGGGGTTCTTCATGATGCAGGTGGCCCTCTTCCTGCATCTGGAGGTGTAGATGTCTGTGATGGTGGGGAGACTGACTCCAACAGACTTCTGTGCAGCCTTCACCACTCTCTGCAAAGCTTTTCTTTCTGCAACTGTGCAGCCTCCATCACTCTCTGTAGAGCTTTTCTTTCTGCAGCTGTGCAGCCTCCATGCCACACGTTGATGCTGGAGCACAGGATGCTCTCCACTGCACACCTGTAGAAGGAGGTGAGGACTGAGCTTCCTACAACCTTATGCTTCTGGAGAACAAATCAACCTCATTTAATCAAATGAACAGTTAACGCATAGAAATGAATAGTTTTTATTTTTCTTAACATGTGATTTCTGTCATTTTTCCCTCCTAGAGAAAACCTGATGGCCTCCATCCTGTACCTGTCATTGTGTGTTTGTTTTCTCCTTCCTGTCCTCTTAAACCCAGCCTGTCAGAGCTGCTTGTTCTAAGCCTGGTTCTGGAGGTTTATTCCTAGTGAGGGAGTTTTTCCTTTCCACTGTTGCCTCTGTAGGAGACTGCGATGAAGTGAAAACTCAAAGCAGTCTGTTGGCTCCTTAGATAAATAACTTTATTAACTGACTTTATATGTATGTGGATATTTCTGTACAGTGCCCTGAGACGACTTCTGTTGTGATTTGGTGCTATATGAATAAACTGAATTGAATTGATTAACATTTGTTTACTGGATCACTAACCACAAACGTTTCACAATTTGTTTTACATTTCCTGTGGGAAAAGATAAGATTTGTTGCTTTTTTGTGTGCACAAAGTTATTTTTCTTTTACTCCCAACGGTCAGTGCTGTTTCTTATGAAAATAGTTCTTAAGCACTTCCATCACCCACATTCACCTCCACCCAAATAGAGTTTTGATTATCTTTATTTTACCTATGTAAAAAAAAATGTACACAGCTTTTTTTTCATTAGCTTAAAATTCCCAAAGTCACATAAATAAAATGCATCTATGGGTGGTCTATCTATAATAGGCCTACCATGTCGGAAAAACATTCTTTCTATTTTCTGTGTTCTATTCATGCCCAGTCTGTCTGCTCCAAGTTGCTAACTGACAATTTATCTTCTAAATTTAGTCCCACAGAATTTCTTATACAAAAAATTTCCACAGACAGCTCCATACAGTATTGTTGCACACTATTCTGCATTTAAACAAAATCACGAGGTCTAGTGCAGTTGTGGAGAAAGTACTCAAACACTGTACTTAAGTAAAAGTACCAATAAACAGCCAAAAATGTACTCTAGTAAAAGTAGAAGTACCACATTAATGCTTTTACTTAAGTAAAAGTAAATAAGTACTTGCTTTTAAAAATACTTAAAGTATTAAAAGTAAAAGTACTTGCTGAATGTATTACCTAATGCAATGGTCTACAATATCATTGTGTGCCTACTGTATGTATGTTTTCTGTAATACATTAATAGTGTTGTACCATTTTAATGAACAATGCTGCAGTTAATGAATGTTTTTATTGTGTTTTCTTTGTGACACAGTTCACACTTGGACTTGTGATTCTGTGCATCAGAATTTCAGGGATGTCGTGCAGAGTTAAATGTCATTAAGCAAAATAAGGAAGAGGAATGATTTTACCTTTGAAAGTTTTTATTTAACACAAAGCAAAACCAATGTGTCATTTAACTTCAGTAAAAACATTTAAGTAAAAGTTGTCTGCCTGGAAAAAAAGAGCATTTGACCTAACAAAGGAACAGGCATTGATCATTTCAACTCCAGTTTGTCATTAACTCTATAAAATACTGTCTAGTCGACCTTGTAATGGGTCAGTAGCGAATGACATTTTTACTTCCTGACACCATTTTCAAAACTTGGACTAGAGTGTCGAGACATCTGGAGACATCTCTTGTCTCCTGTCCTAACATCATGAACTGACACATTTTAATATTGCAGCAAGAATTTCTTGTTCAAGTTAAGAAGAAGTTGGTTTAAAAAAGTTTTTTGAGTCCAGTCTGTCTCAGGAGAGAGAATCTGTCCTGCTGTACTGAACAGTCTTTCAATAGTCTTTCAATAATCTTTCTTTAATCTTTCAATAAGGCCATGGGTGGTAAACAAATAAAAAATCACAACGTGGATGTACTTGTAATGCAACACATTATAGAAATGTAGTGTAGTAGAAAGTACAGATACTTAATGTAAAATGTAGTGGAGTAAAAGTAGAAAGTACCCACATTTAACTCTAAGTAAAGAACAGATACATGAAAAATTTACTTAAGTACAGTAACAAAGTACTTGTACTTTATTACATCCCACCACTGGTCTAGTGTTGGTATCCTGATGCATGCTCAATAATCCAGGTAGAAAAATCTAAAAAAGTTAAATCTGATGCTCTGGACTTTAAAAAAACAAAACAAAAAAAATGTAGCTACGTTTCGTCTTTCGTCTAGTGTTGGTAGTGTCTGTATCAGTTAGCAAAAATGTGTCTATGGGGAAGATCCCATCCCAACACGATGCTGTTGGAGTTGCTAGCCTTTCACTGCAGACAGGGCAATATGATAAATCTACAGCTGAACATGACCCTGCATAGCCCCAAACTGCAACAAACAAACAAAAAACAACAACAAACAACAAAAAAACATCAAGCATACAGTCTGTATCATTGTTTCCAACATATCTCAGCTGCTTTTTCACCACAAAAGTTTGTCAAAAGTGAAAGTTGTGCTGGCTGACTGGAGGTGTTAATCAGCTTTCTCCTGTTGCTTCAGGAGGTGCACTGGCTGAGTGAAAGGCTGTGATTGCAGGTTCAGCAACAAACGCAGAAAAAAAAAACCCAACAACATTGAAGTGACACTAATCTGGAGACTCTTCTGGCAAATAATCAGCAAATGCAAACAACTGAGCTGCACATCTGATAAAACTACAACATGCACTGTATTTTTAATGAAAGAACGAGGATGATACATCAACAAGTAAACATTTAAACGACTGTTCAGACAGTTCAGACACAAAAAGTCACACTCAGAAAGCCTCAGCAGTTTCCAGAAGGGACACAGAAGGCCCCGTTCTTTGTCTGATCAATCCCTCATTAGAGGTAAACCTCCCTTTTTGTGGGGAAATAAAGGATTTGAATAAAATGCAATGCTAATAGAACCATTTACACATTAACAATGATAAGCTGCAGGATGTTAATGGGTCAGTGAAACTGAATGGTCCATTACACGAGTCAGCACAGATGTTTGGCCAGTGAATTGTACAATCATTAAGTAAATGTAATTCTGGAAGTGACAAGTTGACACTAGTTTATTGTGACAGTTTGGGTCATTTGCTTTAACAACTGAAACTAATGGTTAATATTTTCCTGCTTCACCCCCTTTGGCTCTATGTATTGTAAGGCCTCTAGATCCTAAATTGGCCTAAAACAAATACCCATTGTTTTGTAGATGAAGATTTTTGTTCAGAAAGGATCTAAAGAGGTTTGTATTGCCCATGTCGTGTCAGGGTGAAAGGGAAAGTGACTTGTCACCTCCCAGTGTGAAGTCAAAAGAAGCCTGTTGCATCAAGGAGTTTATTTATACCTGCAAAGCACAAAGCAAATCATTATCACAGGAAATGACTGTCTGCTAAGATGACAGCATGCAGTTTGTTTCTTCAGCCTACTGGTCAGGCAGGAACAATAATATACTGTCATGGGAAAAACCAAAGTCAAATATCTTTCAATTCTATACGGTTTTACATATC